TCCTACAGCTCTAATGAAACCTTCTATATGATTTTTTTTTACTTTATTATGGTTGGTTTTCGTTTTTTTGAAAAGTACTCTAAACTGTATAAATAATGTAAATTAAATTGAATTTATTAGCCAATCTAGCTGATTAATGGTGAATATAAACCTAAATTTGTCTATTTTTAGCCCATTTAACTATATATTTAAAGATTTATTATTGTTAGCTCGGCTGCTTGGTAAGTATAACTTTAATTTTGATGTTGATTTTTTTTATATAATTATTAACTTCTATTATATATGTTCATTATTGGCGAGTGAGTATGTCATGCTTTCTTTTAAGATTAACTAATATAATATATGTCACTTCCATGATTTACTTTATTATCAGGAGATAGTAAGTAATTGTTCATTGTCATTCCTTGATATCTTAGATCTGTTACTGTCTGACTTACTATACCCATCTCTTTCTTCTTAACTAGTCCTTCTTTAGACCTTACCTAAACACCAAAAAAAAATTCTTGAATTATAGATAATAATAATAAAATAACATTACCAAAATTATGTGCTCATAACATTTGGAATCGGCATTATTCCCATATGCTAATAGTATTCCACAAAATCAAATTCAAAGCTCAAGTTTCAAATCAAAAGATTATGTTAAATTTGATTAAACTTTGATTTGTTTTTGTAGAGCATTATATTCTAAGGGTGCTCTCAAGCATCTCCCTGAGTGTGATTAGATAGTGATTAAGATGATGTTCAATCAATACAATCAATTAGTATAAAGATTGCAATCAATGATTGAGCGAATTCTTTTCTATTACAATTAATTATTATGTTGACAAACAAAAAAAAAAAAGGATTGTCCCAAAACATATTACTATTACCAGCAACTTCGAACATATCTGTTCCAACAACTTCAAGCATGCCTGTTATTTCTTCCACTATTCCAAATGTTTCCATTATCCTTTTGGTTATTCACAATACTCCTGTCACTCCTTTTACAGATTTTACTAATCTTCATATGCTGCTACAACAACATTATCTTTCTGCACAACTATTTAATTCTTTAGTTTTAAACAAAACTAATAATGAAAGTGAAGAGGTATATAATTGAATTTTTTTAAAAAAATTGTAAATTGTATAATAATTGTTAAAAAATATTTTTAAATAACCTTTTTAAAGCCTTCTATTATTGACAATAGTCAACCCCAAGTCAAGAAAAATTTACAAAGTATAGATGATTCATCTAACACTAATACTACTTCAGGAAATAAACAAAATAATTGATGGACATCATCCAAAATTAGAATGTTAATTGACGAAGTTGGAAACAATCAACAAGCATTACAGCACGTAAGGGATCCACATGAAAAAGGCCATATTTGGGACAAAATTGTATTGAATATTCAAGATTCTATTTCAAGTATTATTTTAAAAGAGCGTTCCAAAACTTCGTTTCAACAAAAATAGAATTCTTTCCATCAAAAATATTGTAATATCAAAGATATTATCAAAAATACGGGTGAAGAAGCAATCCAAAATGATTGGGAATTCTTTAAGGATATGGATAAATATTTAAAGAATGATCCAAGTATTGAAGCGCCAATTACAAGTGACTCAATTAATGGAATTAAACATAAAGAAAAAAATAATACTGATAATTATGAAGACGAAGATGTAATAATTTATTTTCTTTCTTAGCATGTATATATATACAATTTATATTTATTGTTTTATAAATATAGCCTAACACTAAAAGATGAAAAAGTACTCGTATTAATGAAAATAAGGAATGTCTTGAAGATATTCAAAGTCTGATTAAAGAACAAATGAATACTATCGTCGAGACAATTAAAGAGCAATATTTACATACATGTGAAGTTCAACAATGATAACACGATGAGCAAATAGAAATTTTCAAACAGTTCTTAAACAAATTTTAATAATATAGTACATTTTTAAATATATTTAATAATGTATCTTTAAGTTATTTGCATATGCATTATAATTAATAAAGATCTGCAAGAATATTTGCTAAATATTCTCTTTTCTGTATGTCTGCCATATGTTCTCTTTCTTCATTGATCATAATTTCTTCATAATCCTCATTATTTTTACTGTTAATATCATCATCTTCATCTAATATATCATTGTTATCAATACAAATATTGTGTAAAATACAGCATGCATAGATTATTCTAACTATTCGCTCTAAATCTATGCAATATACACCATTTAAAATTCTCCATCGTTTTTTCAAATATCCAAATGCCTGTTCAATGATTATCCGCATCGAAGATAAAACTTTGTTAAATTGTCATTCTCTATGAGTTAATTGTTCATAATCAAAGAATGGCTTTATTAAATAAGTTCTAAGTGGGTATGCTGAATTAGCAATTATATAGGTGCCACCTGGAATCTACTGTTTAGGATTATGAGAAATTTCATGATACAATGAAGAACGATAAAATACTCACGCATTGTGTACACTTTCTTTACAAATTAAAATATGAATATTAAAAAAAATTGAAAATACAAAAAAATAAAATAAGTAAAAATTAATAAATAAAAATAAATAAAATAACCTGTTTCACCAATATACACGTATGTAAAATGTCCCAAATAATCCACTACACCAAGAAGGTTTATGGAATAGAAGTTTTTTTGATTTACAAATCATGCTCTATTTTTATAGGGAGGGTGAATAGGAATATGCGATCCATCTATTGCACCAACAACATTAAATAATTTACATTCTAAGCCTAATATTCCATATTCAAACCCTTGTGTTATAGTTGCTAATTTTGTTTCTCGTGGCCATGTTATTCTTTCTCGTTCTAAATCTAACAAAACTTTCAAGAATCGATCTGTAAAATGACATACTGATCCTTGACTTATGTCAAGTGTTTGTTCTAATGTCTTATCCCTGTCCCATTAGCAAATCACCATAGTACAATTGCGATTTGTTTCCAAGCAGGTATTGCATTCAAAGCTTCACAACTAAAGGCTGAATGTGTTTGTAATCGCTCAACAATAGTATTAAATGTAACAAGAGTAATATGGAAATGTCATCGAAAAGAATTATAACTATCATTATCAGTCAAGTTTGGAAAAACATCAACCCAGAATCCTCCAGTTTTAGGCCTTTGTTGATGTTGTGCTCTTATATTAGGTAATAAAAATGCAATTAAAATAGTTGTATTGGTTATCATATGAGTGTAGTTAAGAAGATAATAAGTATCAATTATTTTTTGGGGGGTTTTTTGATGTTTTTTATTTGCTGTGAAAGTTTCTAGTACAAGAAGTAAAAAAGTAATTTGCTGTTGACAACGAAGATCCATATTTGTCAGGTGTGTATTCAGTGCAAAGGATAAAAAAAATAAAATAATGTAATTTGACCGTAAAAATAAAATAAATATATAATTCGATCGTAAAAATAAATTATGTAATTTGATCGTAAAAATAAAATATGTAATTTGATCATAAAGTGCTTGAATGGTCTCGATCAATGATACAGTCAACTCTTGATAAATCGGACTCTTGATAAACCGATGTCAATCATTTAACGTGATCAAAATCCAGTACTACATGAATGCACCACATGGTTTATCAAGAGATGATCACCTCTCGATTATTTGTGATATTCATCACATAGCTTGATATGTAATTAGGGTGTCACATGACACTGGTTTACCAAGAGTTGTTTTTTTTTGCCAATACGTATGTAATATTTGAGTGTTGATAATTTTGCCAGTACGTATTATAACTTTTAGATTTTAATTGCTATGTATGTTACTACTTTATTAAGAAATTGGTCCTGTTTTACCAGATAATTAACTCCAATTCTTTTAACTCAGCCTATTTTAAACATTGTATTTGCTCTTTGAACTAATGTATTTATGTCAGTTATGTTTCATTTCGCAGAAATAAAATTTGCTAGCACTAACTCTAACCCTAACATAAATCAAGCTAATATGTTAGCGAAATTACTTGTTGACAAAATAACTTTTAGGAATTGCTGTATTAACCTCTTACAGTACATAATCATGTCATATGATTTTGTTTGCCAAGACTTGTCTGGCTAATGATTGCTGCTCTTAATGCTAATTATATAGATTATGAAACATTCTAAAATTCAGCCAAATTCGTATTATTTTAATGGTTTATCAAATGAATTATTAATTATTTTATAAAATAATAGAGTTTTTGAAGTTTGGTTATTAGTCCAGTTTGGATGACAATTTAAACACAGTGTTGTATATAACTATTCATTTTTATAAATATACAGTTTGACTCGAAATTTATTTTATTAATAATCAAATATGGTAATGACCTAATGTTATGATTGCATTCCTATAAGACGAGGTGTTATGATTATAATGATTATTTAGATTTTTAAATTTTTTTTTTTTTAAAATAAAAAAAATGTTTATATTCTAGCTAAAGATATGTTATTTTTTTAACTTAGATGGGGGAATATTTGGCATTGTTTAAAATACGTACTATATAAAAATTGTCTAATATATCCTATTTCCTTATACTATTTATCTAAATTTTTTTTTACTATGAGGGAGAGGAGGGAGCTAAAGAGAGGGGGTAGGATGATGTAAATCACCAAATCAAATTGGTCTCACCTAACTAGCGATTATATATGCAGCAGGTGGCTTCATCGCCTGTCTGTAAGTATATACACTAGCATAAATAAAGATCTCTGTTATTGGTTAAACCCTTTCTTTTAAAAAAAGCACATGTTTTTTAGACCTCTCCTAAGTATTTATGTTTATGATTTTAATTTTATTGATTAATATTAATAAAACATCTTTATACTCACATATTATTAAAAGAGTTTGATAATTAATAGTTACTAGTAAATAAAGATTTATAATTAAGTTCAAAATAAGTACTTAGAAATAAGCATTTAAAAATAAGTATATATTTATATTTGTAATTTTAATTCCTCACATATTATTAAAAGATACGTATTAGATATTAATAATTACTACTGGTAATAAGAATTTAGAAAACATAAGTATTTATATTTATGATTTTAATTCTACTAATTAATGTTAATAAATCATATTTATACATACTTATGTTATTAAATTGTGTTAGGTAATTAATTAATAGTTACTAGTAAATAAAAAGTTAGTTATAAGTATTCAAAGTTAAGTATTTAATGATAAGTATTTATGTTTATAATTTTTATTTCACTAATTAGCAATAAGTTATCTTTATACTCACATATAATTAAAAGGTATTTGATAATTAATAGTTACTAGTAAATAATAACTTAGATAAGTATTTAGAGATAAGTACATATTTGGAGATAAGTATTTATTTATTTTATTTATTATATAATATTAATAAGTATTTTATAATTACATA